AGCCAGAACTTGATCCCATGTCTCCTGACTCCAAGCCTAGGGCTCTTTCCACTATAGCATGTTGCCTAAAGCTTCTATAATGGGAACAATGTCTTCATTAAATCGAATGATAAGAACTATCTCAAAGTGGAATAGGCTGCCTTCAGTGGGAGGTAGCAGTTTCCCCATAACCAGAAGATTTCAAATAGAGGATGAACACTACTATATCAGGGTAATGGCAGAGGACATCCTTGCTTAAGAACCACTTGGACTAGATGTACCCTTAGATTACTTTGGCTCTGAGAATCTGAGACCACAATAAAATATAAGACTGAACATGTACATTTCTCTGGGAGAGGACTTCATGGAGCAAATTCTCACCAAAGTATAAATGATTAATAATGGAGGCCTTCCCTGACAGCAGGATTTAACGTGGCAGAAAGAACAAGGGATACTGGACTGCAGGAGGCAGGGAACAGAGTAGAGGAGTGCTAGCCTCACACATTCTGTCAGCTGCTTAGGATCTTGGAATCCAGATATTTGGGTTGAAGTCTTTTTATTTATTTCCCTGCCTGTGATCATTAGAATATTAGAATGTTAGAGCTGGGACTTCAGAACTCTTGTCATCTAACTCCCTTATTTTATAGCTAGTATCTCTAGCCTCATCTCCCAGAACAAAGCTGGCTACATCACCCCCTCAGGATTGCAGGGGAGCCCCTAAGGGATTGGGGATGACCATTTTCCAGTGCTGTATTCTGTGTGTTCACCTCACTGTTAGCCACCAGTAACTAGCACACCAATTCCATCTAACCAATTGACATCAATTAGTTTTTACAAAGATTGATCATAGTTCTTGTCTTTCAAAATTGTTTGTTTTTACAATATTGATAGTTAAAATTATCTCTTTTTAAATCTTTTTGCTGTTGCTCCCTCAATGATTGTATCATCCCATTTGCATTAGAAAACAAATGCTTTATTCTTATAAAAATCTTTTCCTATTGCTCACTTATATACTCTTATTTTGATGGGTTGTAAGCCTATAATGTTTTGCCTCTTTGAATACTATAATCTGTGTTCTCCACTTCTTTAAAGTGGTATCTGCTAAATCTTGTGTGATCCTGACTGTGATTCCTCAGTACTTGAATTATTTTTTTCCAGCTGTTTGAGTTATTTTTTCTTTAACCTGGAAACTCTCAATTTTGGCTATGATGTTCCTGGGAGTTTCATTCTGGAGTTTCTTTCAGAAGGTGATTGGTGTATTCTGTTTTCACTTTGCTCTGTTGTTCTAACATATCTGGGCAGTTTTCTTTCTTGATTTCCTGAATTATGATATACAGATTGGTTTTTGGCCATGGCTTTCAGGTAGTCCAGATTCTTATATTATTCTTCTTGATCTGTTTTTCAGGTCAAGAACACTAGGCTTGGAGCCAAGAAGACCTGAATTCAAATCTGGCCTCAGACATGCACTAGTTATAAGATGCTGGACAAGTCATTTTAACCTCTTTCTTCTTTCATTTCCTCAATTGTAAAATGAGGATAATAATAGTACCTACTCCCAGGGTTATTGCTATTACTTCTCTTTCCAAATCTTTCCTCCAAAGCTCTCATTTCTTTCCAAATCTTTCCTGTGTTATCTTTATTTAATAATATAATTTGAACTCTTTGAGAAAATGCCTTTTGCTTTATTTCTTCTAGGAATTTTAATTGATATTATGACCAAGCCCTGTTTTTCTTTGAGGCTTTGCTTGTGGATATTTTGGAGTTATTCTCCTCTTCTGGGTTTGTATCCTGAGTGTCCCTGGCATCATAACATTTCTTTATCTTTTTCTCTTTTCTCATTCTTCCAGCCTTGCCTCCTGGGACTTTGTGTTAGGATTTTTGCACTTCTGTGCACTTCTGCTGCGCTTGGTGTGATCTTGTATGGTCCTGGCCTGTGTGATCTGAGGCTCTGCTGCTACATACATTAGGTATTGATTGATGTGCTTCTTAAGGATCACAAGGACAACCTGAACCAGGTAGCTACAGACTTAGTTGGCCTGTGCAGTCACATCAAGGGCATGGTTTGATTCCTGCCCTTCTGGGATTTTCAAGCTCTACATCTTAGTTTGGATTAAGGTACCATAGCTGCAGACTTGTCCCAGTTTCTAAAAACTGAAAACAAAGGTCCATAGGTTTTGCCAGTTATTATAGTTAGAGTTTTGTCCCTCTGATAGCTCCAGTAGACAGTAGTTGGGGGGCAGCGAGGTGGCGCAGTGGATGGAGTACCGGCCCTGAAGTCAGGAGGACCTGAGTTCAAATCCGACCTCAGACACATAACACTCACTAGCTATGTGACTCTGGGCAAGTCACTTAACCCTAATTGCCTCACCAAAAAAAAAAAAAAGACAATAGTTGGTCCCAGCCTTTGTCATCTAGCAGGAAGGCTTAATGGGTTCAGAGCAACCATATTGCTGGCCCAGCTTTGTTCTGCTCTTGGGCTGGGTCTATGGTCTGCTCTGTGAAAGGACTGGGCTGCTGGCCTAGACCTGTTCTGAGGCTGGGGTGGAGCCCACAGTTTACTCTGGGCAACCTGGTATTGATGGTTTAACTAGGAGCTCTGGGGGCTGAGTTCACGCTCCTAACTGCTCTGGGAGACCCTGTGCTGCTGGCCTGGGCTGGGGACTGAGTTTGAGATCAGCTCTGGGCACGTCCTTGCTGCTGGCCTAACGACACTTTGGGCCCACCCCCGTTCCACAGTTCCTGCCATGGTCACTTGCCTGTAGGTCAAATTTGTGATCTTGGGCTGGAAATATGATCCACTTTGGTTTCAGATCACTGCCTGGTTTGGCATTCTTCTTGGATTGGTATTAGAGTAGCTGTACAGAAGTTGGGCTTTTCTGCTTCCTCCTACTCTGCCATTTTGTCTGGTTTGTCCCACCCCCTTTCCCATCAGTGACTTCTTATTGTTAGAATCAGATAATAGGATGATAGAATTTAGTACTGGAAGAGATCTTAGAGATTACCCAATCCAACCTACCCATTCTGAAGAAACCAAGTCTCAAAGAACTATACATTCACAGAGCTAGAACCTGAACCCAGGACTTTTGACTCCATAACCAGTATTCATATCAGTGCCCCACAAAAGGCCTTATTCTACCACTAATTGAATGACACTGGGCAAGTTACTCCCCTCTTCTCTAAACGTCAGTATCCTTATCTGTGAGTTGCAAGCACAAAAAATTCACATAATTCACAGACCTAGATGTTTTGAAGAGAAGCACTTGGAGTCTGTGGATGGAGATAACAGGGATTGGTTAGTGGATCACTTTGGGAAGAAGGTGAAAGAAGCAAGAGGCACACAGGAGAGGTAATACATTTTTCTTGAGGGAGAAAGACATGGGGTGGTATCAAATACCTCAACTTATTTCCTTCCCAGTGCTTGCCTCTAAAAAGAACTGCAGATTGCATGCCTGATGAATCCAGTTTGGATGAGATGGCCCCTTCAGAGTTATTTCCCTTTCCAGCAACTGGAGACAGAGAAGGAAGTGGCTGATGACTTACCCTGTTTCCATTATCTAAGCAGGAAGCCTCTTCCTGTCCTTTGTTGGGGGGGGAGATAGAGTAAGGAATCCAGGATGTCTCCTAGGTTGTGAGACTGAGGGACGGGGAAGATGCTGTACCCACTACAGTAATAGGGAAGGCAGGAGGGGTGAGGATTTAGGGGAAAAGATGAGCTTAGTTTTGGACATGTTAAGATGTCTACTAGACACTTATTTGGGGATGTTGGAAAGGCAGTTGGAGACATGAGACTGAAGGTCGGCAGAGAGGTTAAGGCAAGATGGGTAGATCTGAGAATCATGAGCATAGAGATGTTAATTAAATCTATGGGAGCTGATGAGATGACCAAGTGAAGTGGAATTGAGGGAAAAGAGAAGAGGACCCAGGACAGAACCCTGTGGGACACCCATAGTTAGAGGGTATACTCTGGTTGAGAACCCAGCAAAAGAGACAGAGAAGGCGTAGTCAGATAGGTGGAAGGAGAACCAAGAGCTAGTGGTGTCCTCAAAACCTAGAAAGAAGAGGGTATGAAGGAGGAGAGAACGATCATCAGTATCAAAGGCTACAGACAGGCCAAGAAGAATAAGAATTGAGACAGGGCCACCGGATTTGGTAATTAAGAGATCATTGGTAACTGTGGAAGAGAAGAGTTTTGGTGGAATGGTGAGTGGAAGCTCTAAGTGGAATAAATAAGTAAAGATGGGGGGGGGGTGATTTATAATAAAACCTGAATTCTCCATCCCCCAACATGTGTGTATTTGTATACATATATACACACACATACTCATATATGCGTACACACACACACACACACACACATATATGGTTTCTCAAAAGTCTTAGTGCAGTGTTCAGCTTAATACTTACTGTCCATGGAATTAATAAGCTGTAAATTGCACTAAGACTTTTGGGACCCCCTCTATTATATATTGATGATATCAGTAGCAAAAGACAAAAGTGAGGAGAGGGGCTGTACTTCTCCGAGTTCCTCTGTCCCTGGACCAGTGGCACACATAGGGACTTCACCATCTCCTAGACAATTTGTGCAAAATTTGACTGGGTAGTGCTATGCGTAAAGTGGAAGTAATCCTTTTGGTGCTACTTAACTCAAAGGATTCTTGTGTGGAAAATATTTTGTATCCCTTAAAGGGCCTTAGAAATGAGAGTTGTTATATAAACACTACTGTCACCATCTATCTGGCTGGGCTTGAGGGGACGGGTTGGCAGGGCGACCCCGCCTAAGGGCTTTCTAAGCAGGGCCCTCCGGCCTTGAATGGTGCCCCAGGACTAGAATCACCTACTCTTAGTTCCTCCTCGTAGTCAGTCTTCCTTCTCCTTACATCCCTCGCCTTGGAGTGGGGCGGGGAAGAAGGAGCAGGGCAGATGGGTTTCCCAGGTGAATGCCAAGTCTTAGCCCTAGAGAAATCAGGAAACAATACAACTCCCACAGTGCTCTGGGGTGGTTGTCATTGGCAACGAGAGAACACAGTGTAACAGCCAAGCTTGTGTATTCCCTGAAGCTCTGGCCCAGCAAAGTCCAGCCTAACCATGGGTTTCGATTACTATCTTGTATTGGACATCAACAGGAATGCCCAGGATGCAGAGATAAAGAAGGCGTAAGCTTGGGACAAGGGGAATCTTTTTTCACTTCCTCAGCCTCCCTCCTCCTCTCTCCCCCTTCCTCTCACCTATTCTTTTCCTTTTCCTTTGACCCTTCAATTTCCTATCTTCTTCCTTCACTTTTCCTTTCATTTTCCTTATTGATTCCACCCCCTCCTTCCTCCTTGTTTCTCCTCTGCCCTTCCTTCTCCCTCCCCCACCTTCTTTTCCCCTTCCTTCTTCCTCCCCTTCTTTATCCCTCCTATTTCTTTGTCCTCTCTCTTCTTTCTGCTTCCTCTTTCCTCCCTCTCCAGACTTCTCTTCCTCTGCTTTCTTTCCCTTCCTTGTCCTCCCCTTTTTGTTCTATTCCCTTTACTTCTTATCTTTCCTCCTTTTCCCCTCTTCCCTTTTTTCCTTCTCCTTTTGCCTTCCTTCCTATTATATCTCTTTTCTCTTCCTTTTGACTTTCTCCACCCTCCCCTTCCTTACCTCCTCTCTGTCCTCTTCCTTCCCTTCCCTCCTCCATCCTATTTTTACCCTCTCCTCCTTTACATTTGGCCCTCCAGGAGATAATGTGCCTGATTTTGTGCCCTGGTTCCACAGGATCTTCCCACCTCACGTTTCCCTGCTCCCTCCCCTTTTGCTGCATCTCTGAACTCTGTCTTCCTTCCCATGATCTATGTTTGAAATGGGCTTGAGGATGGGTCACTAGTTCCACCCACCTATCCTGAAGATTTAGGAGTGGCCAATGGTGCAGCTGCCGAGACTTTTGGAGAAATTTCTCTTTGCAGTAGAATGGGGGTGGGGTGGGCAGGGGGCTTCTTTCTCTTCCCCCATTGACCCAAGCAGGGGCAGGGGTGGGGTGTAGGTTGTTGGGGTTATGAGTTGGGGAGGAAGATAGATTATTTCAGGGAGAAACAACCTGGCACTGTGAGGTGAAGAGATGACCGATGACTGCCGGGAATTTAAATGGAGGCCTAGTTGGGAAGGACTTCTAGGGAGTTTGGGATAATGACCTGGAGAAGAAACCTGAGGCTAACAATCTGGAGGCCTGAATTCCTGTCTCGGCTTCGCTGCTAACCGATAACTCACTTCTCTCTGGGTATCAGTCTTCTCATCTGTAAAATGAGGGGTTGGACAAGGTCTCTAAGACCCCTTCCAATTCTGACATTCTCTGTTCTAATGTCCTTTCCAGCTCTGATATTCTTTTTTATGAAATGTTTAATTGAATAAGAATTTATCGAGCACCTCTGTATACTACTTTGTATAGTGATCTTATCTCCCACAGATTCAGTTATCATCTCTATGCTGATGACTCTCAGATCTACTTATATAGCCCTAACCTCTTTCCTAACCTCCAGACTTGTACTTATTGAACATCTCAAACTGGGCATCTTAAACTCAATATGTCCAAAACTGGACTCCTTATCTTTCCTCCCAAGTCCTTCCCTCTTTTGAACTTCCCTATTACTATGGGAGGGCATCACTATCCTCCTGGTTCTCTAGGCTCTCAGCCAAGGTGTCATCTTTAACTCTGCATGCTCACCCAATCTGTTACTAAGTCCAGTCTATTCGTATTATCTTTCGTATATACCTCCTTCTCTGCCCTGATACTGCCACTACCCTGGTGCTGGCCCTTATCACTTTGTGCCTGGACTATTGCAATGGCCTACTGGTTGGTCTCCCTGCTTCCTGTCTCTCCCCGCTCCTTCCTACCTTTCTGGTCTTCTTACATTTTACTCCCCTCTATGTACTCTGTGATCCAGTGACATCGACCTCCTAGCTGTTCCTTGCACAAGACACACTATCTCCCATCGCTGTACCCCTCATCTGGAATTCTCTTGCTCCTCATCTCCACCTCCTGGCTCCCCTGGCTTTCTTCAAGATCCAGCTAAAATTCCACCTTCCGCCAGAAGTCTCTTCTGATTCCCCTGGATGCTGGTGCTTTCCCCCTCTGATTATCTTGCTTGTTGTTTAGTGATATTTGCTAAAATACTTTTAGTGAAGTATTTGTGACAGCTAAGGTCCAATGGCATGGCCTTTCTCATCTCAGATACTCTCCAGTTTATCAGTATTCTTCTTAAAATGTGCCCAGAGCAGACACAGTATCCTAGCTGTGGTCTGCTCAGGGCACAGCACAGCAGGACCATCATCTTTCTAGCACTCTCTCAGCTTGATGTGAACTTGATGAGGTGCTTGTGCTTAGACCCCAGCCCTAGGACCATATCTCTCCCCAGCCCAAAGACCCTATCTCTAGCAATATCTCATGAGTGGGCCCCAGTGAGGCAAACTATCTCTCCCTGTTACAAGAACAAGTTGATCTCTGTAGAATTTCCTTTGTGTGAACAGAACTATCTTGTGCCAACAGAACTATCATGTACTGATTCCCTCAGTTACTGTGTACAATCCAGATATCAAGCTAGAGATATCTCTCCTGAGGCTGTCTTGTACAAACCGGACAGCCATGCCAGTAGTGAATGACACCTGTGCCCACCATACAGAAACTATATGTTCACCACTTAATTTACATACTTGGTGCACCACTCACTGAACTTTTCCCATATAAGCTTTAGTATCACTCTTGTTAGGTTACAGATTCCCTGAAGAGCTCTGCCTGCCTTTATTAGCATTATAATAAACTTTTTACCACTTGACTGGAAGACTGCTTGAGTCTGTGAATTCTCTCCAGATGACTCAGCCCTGAACCTCAATAGTTTTGGGGTCTCTGCACCCCTAAAGCCACATCAAACTAAAATCTCAATAGCTTGAATAGCACATTCTAGAACTGTTCAAGGAAAAGAAGACAAGTTCACTGGCTCATAGTTTATAGACTTTTTTCCCTTTATGAAAATTAGTACAATACTTGCCTTTCTCCACTTCTGTAAGCCTCTTCTAATTTCACTGATATTTCAGATATCACTGACAGTAGTAGTTCATCTGGGCCTTCCAACCTGAATTAATTACAGGCTGCCAGGGAGATCTCTCTCTATAGCCCTCCTTATCTGGGGAGTCAGCTCCTAAATTAGCCATTAGTCACTTTCCCTCTCTGGACCTCAGTTCCCTCAACTGTAAAATAATGGATGGATTAGCTAATTCCCCCTTCCGGTTCTAAATCCTATCATTCTATGACGTAGTTTGGATACACCCACCCTCCGTTTCCTGAGGTCTCCCATTGGTGGGTACCTTCTGGAACCTCTGTTTTGAATGAGGGCCCAGCCTTCATTCTCTGGACCTCACCAGAGTGCCCCATTGAAAATTCCCCCATTCCCCACTCTCCCACTTTTCACCTCCCTTTTATGTGTTTGTCTTCTCCCATATCCATAGTCCTAACTCTACAATGGAAGGAAGAAGCACATTTTCTCAGCTCTTCTCCCAAACCAGACTGGGTCGTTAAAATTACATGCCAGTTCAGTTTGGCTCTATTCTTTCTATTTACATTACTGTAGTCATTGTCTAGGTCATTTTCTTAGTTCCATTTTCTTTACTCTTACCAGTTCAGGTAAGTCTTCCCATGTTTCTCTGAATTCTTAACATACAAATGATTTTATACCTTATACAAAATCAATGAGGGGCAACTTTTATATCTAACAGAAGATCATCCCTGGGGACTGGGGTAGCTTGGGAAGGCTTCCTGATGGAGGTGAATCTGGAAGGATGGGGCGAATGTGGAGGGAAGTAATCCCTTGAAGGAGGGCAAGGAAATACTTTTTGATGGACCAATGTGAGCTCAGAGGCAGGAATAAGTCTGGTCTCAGTATGAGGCTTTCGAGTCAGGGAATCTGAGTTCAAATCCCACCTTTGACCCTTACTGCCTGTGTGACCTTGGGTAAGTCTCTTAAAGTCCGTGGGCTTCAGTTTCCTCATCAGTAAAATGAAGAGGTTGGAGTAGGTGGTCTGTGAAGTCCTTTTCAGCTCTAAATCTCTCATTCTATGATTGTTGCATGCTCTTCTCCCTTCCAGGTACCGGAAATTAGCTCTGAAGAACCACTGGTTAAATGCCCGAGATTCAAAATCAGCAGAGCGTTTTAAGCAGATAGCAGAAGCCTATGATGTGCTGAGTGACCGTAAGTGAGGAAGTTTTGGAAGCCAGGGCATGGGTTCAGGAGCTAAGAGGCTCCTTGGGTTTATCTGGGCCTAGTACCTTGAAAACAGCAACTCAAATTTGAACTCTTAACAACTGTAAGCTGTATGACTTTGAACAAGTATTTCCTTTCTCTAGGCCTCAGTTTCCTCCTTTCTAAAATGGAGATGATATTTGCTTTTCTTGCCTCACAGAATTATGAGGAAAGCATATAGGACAAACCTTAAAGTGCTAAGGAATTGTGAGTTTCTATGTAAAAGGCTTACATCAGTGATATCTCCTGCTCCTTCCCCTGAACCTTTTTAGCCACCTAGCCCCTCCACAGCCTTCCCTAGGAACTGACCCTGCTGACCTCTGTCCTCACAGCTGTAAAGAGAGCCATCTATGACAAATTTGGAGAGGAAGGCCTGAAGGGTGGAATTCCACCTGAATTTAGTTCCCAGGTGACATGGACAAAAGGTTATGTCTTCCACGGGGATGCCAACAGAGTCTTCCACGAATTCTTCGGGGGAGACAACCCCTACAGTGGTAAGAATCCCCCCTCCCCCATGCCCTTCTTCATTCTCTACCTTCAGATCAGTCCCTTGCTCTGACATAATAATACTGATGCCTCCAGGCTTTAAAGCTTTGGCTGTGGGCAAGTCATTTCACTTTTTTTGAGCCTTAGTCTTTTCTTCTGTCAAATAGATATAATAATCCCATGTCCCAGGGTGAAGGGAGCAAAACACCTTGTAAAGCACTAAAGTGCTATAGAAATGGGAAATGCTGTAAAAATGTCAAGGATCATCTAGGGCAGGGGCTCCTTTGGAGTCGTGGCAGTCAGTCTGGTGGTCTATGGGCCCCTTTTCAGAATAATGTTTCTAAATGCATTAAAATAAAATACATAGGATTACAAAGGAAATGAATTATTTTAAAACACACTTATCAAAATATTCTAAAAACAAGTTCATGGACCCCAGGTTAAGAACCCTTGATCTAGGCCAAATCCATTATTTGATAAATGAGGATCCTGTGGCCCAGAGAGGCTTAGTGACTTGCTTAAAATCACAGAACTAATAAATATCAGAGCTGGGATTGAAGTCCCGGTTTGGTCACTCCAAATTCAGTTGTCTACATAAGGCTCTGTCTCTATCCCGGACTCCAAAAGTTGTGTTATCCTGGCTGGCTATTCAGGAGGAATTCCTCCTTGGTCTCTACTGCTCTCCCTCTGACTCTGCCAATGTTAAAACTCCCTTCCTAGTTCCTCTCTTCCCATTCTATCAAGATCCTGGTACCGTCTGACTTTTCAGGACCCATGTTGCAACCCTACTAGGGTCTGGCCTCCAAAGAAGTGTCATAAATCTTAGAATTGTCTCTTCCTCCTGGGAGGAGAAATGCTTTTGCATTATCATTGGTTGTCATAGCTGGAAAGAGACTATCAAGATTTTCAACCTTGTGTGGCCTTGGCCAGGCTCTTTGGGATTCAGTTTCCTCATTTGTAAAATAATTAGATAGAGGGCCTAGGGTGTGATTCTGTTATGTTTGGATGGTCTCAAAAGAAGAAAGGAAAGGTAAAGAAGAAAAAAGCACTGGGAGAGGGATGAAAGGAGAGAAAGAATGAGGAAAGATCTCACACAAATAGGGTGAGCAAAAAGGAGAGGACAGTGGAGGAAGCAAATGACACTTGAACCTCACTCTCATCTGACCCGGTTAAGGGAGGGAAAATACACCTACATATACAGTTGGGTACAGAAATACATCTTACTCTACAGGCAAATAGGAAGGAAAAGAGTTAAGGGAAAAGTGGGGAATAAGAGGGAGGGTAGATTCATTAGTTAGAAGCAAAACAGTCTCTTAAAGAGGCGTCAAGGAGAAAAAGAGAAGGAAAAGTAAAAGAGATTTGGATGGAGAGAAAAACAGAGTTGGTAATCATAACTGTGAATGTGAATGGGTTGAACTCAGTCAAAAAATGGAAGAGGATGGCAGAATGGATTAGAAACCAGAATCCAAAAATATGTTGTTTACAAGAAACACATTTGAAACAGAAAGAAACACAGAGTTAAAATAAAGAGCCTCTTTTCCAGGTTAAACATTCCCATTTCTTTCCACTGATCCTCATATGACATGATCTTGAGGCCCTTCAATCTCCTATGTGCCCTTTTGCAATGCCCTTGCTAAAACATGGTGCCCAGAACTAGACATATATTCCTGATGTGGATAAAATCTTCCCTCAGGGGGCAGCTAGGTGGGCCAGTGGATAGAGCACTGACCCTGAAGTCAGGAGGACCTGAGTTCAAATCCGGCCTCAGACCAAACACTTGACACTTACTAGCTGTGTGACCCTGGGCAAGTCACTTAACCCTAATTGCCTAAAAAAACCCAACAAAAACCAAAAACAAAAAACTTCCCTCAGACATTTACTAGCTCTCTATGCTTTAGTGTAGTATAGTATTCATCTGTTAAATGAGGGTATTGGACCTGATGGCCTTGAAGGTCCCTTCCAGCTCTCAATCTATGCCCCTGAAATGAGAGCAGAATGCAGTGGGACTGGCGCTTCCTTAGTTCTGGCCACTGTGCGTCTCTTAATGAAACCTTAGATCACATTAGCTTTTTTTAACCATGTCCCTTACTGACTCATATGGATTTTTCAGTCCCCTACCGCTCCCAGATCTTTGTCATAGAAACTTTTATCTAGCCATGTTTTCCCCATCCTGTACTTTAGAAGTTTGTTTTTTTTTTAAACCAAATTAAGGACTTTCTTCCTTTTAGGTTTCATTTTCCTAGATTTGGCCCTTCATTCCGGCTCACTGACATCCTTTGGAATCCTGTCTCTGTATTCCAATATCTTAGCTGTCCCTCCCAGCTTTATGATGCAAACAGATTTGATGGGCATGCCTTCGTGCAAATTACTGATTAAAATGCTACAACACAGTGTCAAGGACAAATCCTTGGGGTATTACACTAGAGACCTCTCCCCAAGCTAACATAACCTCCTTAATAACTGTTCCTTGGGTTCATTCATTCACCAAGTTCCAAATCTTTCTAACTATTATTATCCAGCCCATATCTCTTCATCTTCGTCCGTAAGGATAGCATGAAAGAGACTTTGCCAAATGCTTCACTGAAGTCTAGGTATGTTATTCCTACAGTATTCTCATCTTCTTACCAGTATAGTTACTGTGTCAAAAACAGAAATGAGATTACTCTGGAAGGACCAGGAAACCAGGAAATCATGTCCCTTTCTCACTAATCTCCTTTCTAATATATTCTAGAATTTCTCCAGAGTTCAGAATTAAGACCACTGTCATAGAGCTTTCAGAGACTACCTTCTTCTCTTTCCTTCAACCCAGGCAGAGCCTTGGCTGTGAACTGGGCTATAAGTGTAGTGCAGATGTGGGGAACCTGTGGCCTCGAGGCCACATGTGGCACTCCAGGTCCTCAAGTGTAGCCCTTTGACTGAATCCAAATTTCACAGAACAAATCCTCTTAATAAAAGAATTTGTTTTGTAAAACTTGGACTCAGTTAAAAGGCCATACCCAAGGACTAGAGGGCCACATGTGGCCTTGAGGCCACAGGTTCCCCACCCTTGGTGTAGGGTATGGGTTAATGGATGTGAGTAGGATTCAGGACTAGGAGCTAGGGGTTGAATCCTTGAGTTTGCAGGCCTGTGGGCTTGGCTGGCGTGTGTAAGAAGGCCTGGGACCAGGGAATGTGGGGTCATTGTTGTCAACATTGTAGCACTTTGGCGTCGAGGCCCACAGGTTTGAATTGGGGGTAGGGGATGAGTTGCTGGCGCTAAGTGGGACCAGGGGCTATGACCATAAGCTTCTCCTGGCCCCTTGGGCAGAGTTCTTTGATCCTGATGGCATGGATGTGAACTTGAACTTTGGGGGCCTTCGGGGCCGTGGGATCAAGAAGCAGGACCCTCCCATCGAGCGAGATCTCTACCTGTCCTTGGAGGACTTGTTCTTTGGCTGCACCAAGAAGATCAAGATCTCCCGAAGGGTAAGAACCCCCTAGGCCTCCCAGGGCTCCAGAACAGCCATCCTGCCTGCCCCTGCCCACCCCGGGGAAGGACTTAGGTTTCTCAAAGAAATTTGTGGGCTAGAACCTAAAAACCTAGTGAGACCTTCTACCCCAAGGGCTCCCATCTGATGTAGGGGTCACCTAGCCTCTTCTTAAATACCTTCCATGATCTCTCTGGGGACTCATCCACTTCCTAGGGCAGCCTTCTCCAATGTAGGACAGCTCTGATGATGAGAAAGTGCTTCCACATAATGAGCCAAGATCTTCCTCCTTGCGAGCCCTCCCTCTTATCACCCCCCCCCCCCAATTGCTCTTAAAGCAACACAGTATAGCAGAAAGAGCACTGGATTTGAGGTCAGAAGACCTCTCAATTCTGCTTCTCAGTACTTGTGTTACCTTGGGCAGCTCACTTCCACCTCCTTGAGCCTCAGTCTCCCTCCCTCTCCCCACCTGTAAACATGAGGGATCAGAGGCTTTCTGCATTGTACAGTCCACTGGTTGCCATTAACATCTGCTTTGCTCTGTCCTTCTCTGCATGGCCAGTGAAAGATAAGGGCCATCCCTAGAGGACAGGAAAAATCCTGCTGCTGCCCAGTGGCATGGGCCACCCAGTAGGAGGAACTTCTTTCACTGAATACCTCTGCTGACCTCAGTTACTGTCAGCCTCTCCACCACATGCCCTTTCCAGCCACCATTTCCATGAACTCTCTCAATGCGTCGCCCCCTTCCCCCCCACCACAGTCAACTGAATATTCTATTCAGCTGGTCATTTCTGCCTTATGGAGAAGCAGATTCCTATCTCCTATTCCTGTTCCTCCTTGGGGTTCAGTATTATCGGCCCAAGATTATCTACCCCTTCCCCTGCTACTCCTACCCTAGTTGTGCCCTCATTTCCACAGTACCTGGAATCCTTTCCTTTATCCTCTAGTGCTGCCTCCATCCTCCTATGCTCTCCCCTGGTCCCCTCCAGAAGACCCCGCATCCTTAACCACCCTTTCATTTCCTGGCTGCTCCTTCTCTCAACACACTGGCCCAAAAGATGGAATTGGCATAATCCTTGCTCCCACTGCCACCTATGGACTCTTCCTTTGCCCCTCCACCCCATGGCAGCTTGGCATAGTTGGGAGAGTTGGACTTGGAATCAGAAAAACCTGGGTTTAAATCCTGCCTCTGACACTAGCTGTCTAAACCTAGGCAAGTCACTTTCCTTTCCTGGGCCTCAGTTTCTTCATCTGCAAAATGAGGGGATCATAGGTCATAGATTATGTTCACTAAGCAAGCGCTCCTCTTTTGAAGCTGGTCCATCTCTCTATATCACCCCTAGTCATATTCTTGTTGCTGTTCTCTACCATCCTCCCGGTCATTTTTGCTTTTGTCAAAGAGTTCACTATCCATCCTGTCATCTTCTCCAGTATTCACTTTGTTTAAAAACAAAACAAAACAAAACAAAACAAATCATGTTACTTTATTCAGTCAAAAAACAAACAGGTTGCCATGAAAGATGGCTAACGATTTAAAAGTCCTTACAAAGTACACAAAGTCTCTTCATAGTGGTGAGGGGCCTTCATTTCAAGACGAGTTCCACCTTTGGTGTATCTACATGGGCTTCTTTTGGGCCTCTCTCCTTTCATTTTCAAATCAGCATTACTCCAATTTGGCAGAGGCAATTTAGAATGACTAGAAATAGGTAATAATAATAACTAATGTGTGTAGCACTTTAAGGTTTGCAATATACTTTATATATCATTTCATTTGATTAGATTAAAAACATCACTGAAACACTTCCCTCGCCTCCCCCCACCCCACCCTCCACTGCCTGGCAGATCACTAAACATTGAATTCATGAATTTCTGAAAGACCATGGGAATATCATGTAACCTAAACAGAATAATCTGGCATTTATGCAAGCTATGTCAGGTCTGAAATTATCCAATCATTGCTTGTTTAAATGGGGTGAGGTTATATGCCCCCTAGACATATGATTTGTAATGATCACTGCCTCTTCCCAATTCAGCATTCACTTTGATGTCCCTTCCTGCCTTCTGTCCTCCCAGTTCATTAGATAGCCTTACCTAAGACCATGCTGCCGCCATGATCCTGAACTCTCATCTATCTCTCTCTGACCATAATCTACACTTCTCTTTTCCTAAACCTAAATGTCTTCATCATAATCTCCTTTCCTCATATCAATTTCTTCCACTCATAGTCTTAACCACTTCATTTATATACTGTCATCGTCCCACAATACCTTGTCTCCTTTCATAATCCCTTGCCACCACTCATGTCCTGCCAGCCCTGTCCCCTGTGTCACGTCTACCATCTGCTTCTGCTATCCTCTCTATGGATGGACAGCTCCTCCCAGATCTTCTGGCTGCACCTCCAAATCAACATGTGCCACATTGAGCTCATCCTTTTCCTTCCCCTCCTTCAAACTTATTTCTGTCCTGTTGCTGTGGATGACACCCAAGTTCATAACCTCATGATCATCTTTGAGGGCTTCCTTTGTGTCACACCCTAGCCAATCAGTTGCCAAGCCTTATGAGTTAGGTAACTAGGTAAAGACTCACCTTCCTGAGTTCAAATCCAGTTTCAGGCACTTACCATCTGTGTGACCCTGGGCAAGTCACTTAACCCTGTTTTCCTAAGCTTCCTTATCTGTAAAATGAGCTGGAGAAGGAAATGGCAAACCACTCCAGTATCTCTGCCAAGAAGACCCCAGATGGGGTCAGGAAGAGTCAGACATGACTGAAAAACAACTAAACAACAAATCAGCTGTACCTTCATAACATCTCTTGCAGAAATGCTTGTAGCTAGGTGACATAGGGGAGTCAAGAAGACCTAAATTCAGACACTTACTAGTTGTGTGACCTTGGGCAAGTCACTTAACCTCTGTCTACTTCAGTTTTCTCATCTGTAAGTTGGGGATGAGCACCTACCTCCCAGGGTTGTTGTGAAGATCAAATGAGATAATACTTGTAACGCACTTTTGCTTGTTATTATTTCTTTCTGCTCAAACAGACACTACCCTAGTTCAAGCTCTTATCATTTCTCGCCTAGGCTATGAAAATGGTCTCCTAATTGTCCCAGTGTCTCCCTTTTCCAATCTATTCTCTATACAAGTCGTCAAAATAATCTTCCTAAGGCATGGGTCTTATCATGTCCCTCCTCTGCTCAGAAATCTTCAGTGGCTCCCTATTGCCTCTGGAATAAAATACAAACTCTTCAGATTGGCATTCACAGCCTTCCACAATCTGACTACAGCCACCTACCTTCTCAGCCTTATCTCGTGCATTCTGTGTGTCAGCCACGCACGGATGCTAACTATTCCTCACTTCCAGCGTGCTCCATCTCACGTCTGCCTTTATTCAAGCTGCCCTTCATGCGTGGAGGGCACTTTCTTCTCACCTCTGCCCATTAGAATCCTCATTTTCCTTCAAGAGACGACTCAGGCACCGCTTCCTCCAGGAAGCCTGTTCAGATTCCTCTGGTTGCTGGTGTCTCTCCCTTCTCCATTACCTTATTCACTTAGCTCTGTACATACTGTATTCCCCAGTAGAATGTAAGCTCTTTAAGGGCAGAGCCTGTTTTATTTTTGTCATCACATCTCCAGCACTTCACATGGTGACTGGCATATAAATGTTCGTTGAATTTGTTGAATTGGTCACAGGTGAGAGTGTGGATGGTTCATAATGGCTCATCCCCCCTGCCAAGGACACAGCTCAGAACCCACACCCTGCTGGAACCAAGGGAAGAAAAGACTGGCCTCTGAGTGGTTCTGTTTTGGCTCAGCCATCCCATCTTTGTCAGGTTCTCCCAGATGGTCTCTTCTAACTCTGGGCCCCCAGGAGGTTTATTCGCCCCCTTGAGAAACTGAGACCCAGAGCAGGAAATGACTTTCCAAAGGTCACAATGCCAGTTAGTGGCAAAGCCAGGACTAGGGCCTGGGACATTCTTCTCCAGTCCTCACTTCCTGGTTTAGGCTCTGCTCTCTTGCCACCTGGGAAGATCTCAGGATGTGAGGAGGGCAGAGCAGCCCTGAGCAACCCCTTCCCCATTTTCTTCCTCCAGGTAATGAATGAAGACAGATTCACATCCACCATCAAAGACAAGATCCTGACGATTGACGTCCAGCCAGGCTGGAGGCAGGGAACCCGGATCACTTTTGAGAAGGAAGGAGACCAGGTGAGCCAGACACGGGACAGAGACAGATCCTTTGTGGCCCTTGCCCTACAGGAGCCTCCAGTCAGAGAGGAGATGCAGGGGCTGGGGAAGATGACCTCCCAGGGCCCTTGTAGTGTCATTCTGAAGAGAGCCTTATGAAGGAAGTCAGGGTAGGGATTGTTATTCCCATTTAACAGATGAAGAAACTGAGGCTCAGGAATCTATAGGATCTACCAGAGCCAGAAATCACACTGGAATCCAGGCTCCGTGATTCCCAGCCCCAGACTCTGTCCACTACCTACGCTGCTTCTCTGTACATGGAGATGATAAATCATGAGGATGCATAGTAAGGGGTGGAGTTAATCACAGAATGGCAGCAGAGATCTTGGACGGGACCTTGAGAACTGTCTAGTCCAATCCAGGCCCAGAAAGAATTCCCAGTCTAATACTTCGCTGGGGTCCAACAACATGAGTCTGATTCCTCTAACCCATGACAGCCTTTCAGGAATTTGAACACACCCTTTGAACCTTTTTTTTTTTGGCTAGGCAATGAGGTTAAGTGACTTGCCCAGGGTCACACAGCTAGTAAGTGTTATGTGTCTGAGGCTGAATTTGAACTCAGGTCCTCCTGACTCCAGGGCTGGTGCTCTATCCATTGAACCATCTAGCTGCCCTGGACCTTTTTTTTTTTTGAGCTAAATGGCCCCCTTCTTCCTTTAACTGATCCTCTTATGACATGACCTGGTTATCCTCTTCTGGATGATGTCTACAGCATATCAATGTACTTTCTAAAATGTGGTACCCAGAACAGAACACAATACTTCTGATGTGATCTGGCCAGGGCAGGATGCGGTGTAATTAAGACCTCATTGCTGGAAACTGTGTCTGGAAACTTGGGCCAAAGATAGCACTAGCTTTTTGGTGGTCATATTAGAACACTGACTCATTGAGTTTTCAGTCCACTAAGATCTTGAGATCTTTTTCAGATGAAATGCTATTTAAGGTTTCCCAACCATGAACCTGTGGAGTTGATTTTTTTGAACCCAAAAAAGATGTAATATTTGTCACTATTAAATTTCATCTTCTTGGATTCAGTCCAGTTTCCTAACTTTTTTGCATCCTGACTGTTATCCAGTGTGTTATATATTAACATGAGATATGCAAATTTAGACATCTCCTCTCCAAATGCTCATATGGACTATTTGTGCCCTACTTCTGGTAAAGCCTTCTGAGCTTGTACTGGTCTGATCAACTGTGCCTTGACCCCAACATAGTGATGTTATTTTGGTCTTCTTTAAGAATGAAGGACAACCACTATATATTATTCCTAGTTGTGTGTCATTTGCAGAACAGAATCCTATTTTTCATCTTATTCAAATCATTGATAAAAATATTAAGCAGCACAGGAACCAGAATAGATCCCGAGGGCATTCCACGGGAGACCTTCTTCCAAGGTGACACTGAATTGTTATGTTCTGAATACATCCAGTCATACTACTGTCTAGCCCACATCTCTCCAACCTCTCCACAAGAATAATACTTGAAGATACCTTTTAAACATTTTCCTAAAATCTAAGTAAATTATTAAAAAAAAAAAGGAAATAAAGTAAGTTTGATATGACCCATTTCTAATGAAGCCATGCTGGCTCTTTGGGATCACCTTCCCCTTTTCTAGATGTTGATTAGTCCATCCTTTTAAATTTAGCATTCTGGAATTTCCCCAGGAAGCAAAGTCAAGCTCATCAGCCTAGAGACTTGGCAGTTTCCATTCCCTTCCCTTTTTTGAAAATCGTGACACCATTTTCTCTTCTCCAAGCCCTTAGTGATTCCCATGCTCTCTTTCTGCTATCTTTCCTAGGGCCCTGACAGTGGTTCCTCAATCGCATCTGCCAGTTCTTTCAATACCCAAGGGTGCAGGTCATTTGGGCCACGTGACCTAAATCCATCCAGGGGAACTCAAGGTCTTCTTACTATTGCCTTACTTCTCTTGGGTTTCAGTTCCCTATTGGCCATTTTTGTTCTGTCCTTTTGAGCCCGAAGGTCATTGCCCTTGTCAGAGAAGGCAGAAGCAGAATCCAGCAGGCACACCGTTTCTCTGTTAATGGTTATTATTGACCTTTTTCCAGCTCCCCCGCCCCCCAGTTCTATTCCATTTCTGATCCTCTTTACTGTAGTAAAGCTAAAGCACCACTGCCAAAAACCCCTTTTGGTTATTTTTTCGCTCCTCTTCCCCCACGTCCCCCCATCCCAAGGACCCAGGCCAGGACATATTTTTGTGTTCGTCCTGCTTCCCTGGCTCTGGTTCCCACCTTCTGTAAATGTCTTTTTAAAATCTAAGAGGATTGAGTATTTCTCTGTACATTCTTTTCTTTCCTTCAGACAACTCTGATTTCTTTTGCTCATCAGAATTGTTTCCCTTTGTATCTTTTGGATATCATTTTTTCACTTCCCTGTTTCAGTCTGTGGGACCCTACCTAGGCTTGCTTCTGAAATCTGCTCTAGGCCTGGATTTCCTCTCCTCTAGAACAGACTCGTGGGGAGTGGTCACTTCCCCTCTAGGTGTCCATCATTCCCACCCCAGCAATCACTTCCTCTCTGTTAGCGGAAAATCAGATCCAGCATAGAATTTCCCTTTGCTGGCTTTTCTAGCTTTTGAAGGCTCCCTGGGGGGTGGAAGTGGGGGAAGGGGTACAACTTTTAGAACAGGGATTGGGAGAAATTCACCTGGCACTGACTTGCAGGGGAGGAGCCCTGGTCAGTGGAATGGCTTGTGTTCTTCATGCTCAAGACCTCAACCCTCTTCCCACTCCTTCCTTGCCCAGGGCCCCAACATCATTCCAGCGGACATCATCTTCATCGTAAAGGAGAAACTGCACCCCCGATTCCGGAGGGAGGATGACAACCTCTTCTTTGTAAGCTCCATCCCCTTGGGCAAGGTGAGCCAAAGACCCACCAGCAGCCCAGGGCTGCCCTCCCTCATGCTCCACCATGAGACAGTGCCTGTAGACATAGGGTCCTTCAGCCTGAACCCTCCCTGCCCCATGACCCAGGTCTATATACTCTGTGGGGATTTTCCGTGTGAGTCCAACTCTGATCTTCTATCCTCAGTGCTCAGCACAGTGCCCGGTACATAGGAGGTGCCTAATAAATGTTTACTGGCTAACAGATCCTATTAAGAAAGGGTCCAGTGTGCTCACTGAGAATAATAATAACAATAATTTTTTTAAAAGATTTGGGGAGGCAGTGTAGTGTGGAAAGGAGGATGGATTTGGAATCAGAGGCCTGGGTGAGAATCCTAGTTCTGCCCTTTATTGCCTCTGTCTCTTTGGGCAAACCACCTAGCCAACCTCTCGTGGCCTCAGCTTCCTCATCTGCAAGATCAGATGGTTGGATGATGGACCTCTGGGATCTCTTCCAGTTCCAGATCTCAGATCTTATGGCTGGCTCCTGTTTTCTCAGCACATTCCAGTTTACAAAAGCACTTTCATCTCTGCCAGCCTTGAGGCAGATGGTGCAAGTATTGTCGCTGTCCCTAATTTAGGGGCTCAGGCTGGGGTAGTGATTTGCCAAAGGCCACACAGCGAATTTGTCACAAAACCAAGATGAGAATTTAGGCCTCATCACTTTAATCACTATACCATATTACCTCTCAAAATGGTTTCCTTCTGTATTAGAGAGCCCTGAATTTGAGACATACTTGCTTTGTGACTGACCTTGGGCAAATCATTACTGCAATCTAAGCCTCAGTTTTCTTCTTTATAATATGAGGATCAGTTAACAAGTATTTATTAGGCACTTACTTAAAGGCAGTTCTGGTGGCAGAGTGAATAGAGCTTTGGGGCTGGAGTCAGGAAGACCCAAGTTCAAATTCAGCCTCAGATACTCCTAGCTGTGTGATCCTGGGCAAGTCATTTAACCTCTGCCTCAGGTTCCTCAACTGTCAAATAGGGGATAATAATAACACCCACCTCTCAGGGTTGTTGTGAGGATCAAATGAGATATTTGTAAAAAAAAAAAAAAAAAAGGCACCTAGCACATAGTAGGCACTTAATAAATGCTTATTCCCCTTTCCCACTTACTATGTGCCAGGTTCTAGGCTACGCTAAGGATGACAGGATGACAGTAAGCCTTGAACTATTCCCAGGGCTCATGTGAAAAAAGTGCTTTGTTAATTTTTTTTTCTTTCAGCCAAAGACAAAGTTTATTAGAGCACCCATCGTATTTGGCAGACTCTTAAGGAGTCTGAACATTAGTGAGCTATTGGTTAGATTGTAAAAATCTGAGCAGTGACTAGATTCTAAGAATCTGAGCTGAGCTTTGTTAATTTTAAAGGACCATAGAAATATGAGATATTATTACTGAAAACTTTGTCCCCTCTCCCCCATCCTTACCCACAGCCCTTCCTAACTCTGCCCACCATCTGTGAGGGCTTGCATCATTCTCTCCGTTGGCTCTGCCCTCAGTCCTAGTTGTTACTATGTGCCCTCTGTGCAGAGCAGGAAGCTTGAGGCCTAGGGAAGGGTGGGAACTCAATGGAAGTCACACAGAAAGTCCATTGTGAATCCAGAAACATAACCCAGGTGTCCATGCTGGAATAACAGACCTCTTTCTACCCTCTCTTCAATGGAAGGCTCTGACCTGCTGCGCAGTAGAGGTGAAGACCCTTGATGATCGTCTACTCAACATCCCCATCAATGACATAATACAGTGAGTGGACCTTCTGGGACAGAGCTTTAGCTTGGGAATTGGGTGAAGGAAGGAGCTGCCCTGTCACTGAATCAGCTCATTCTACCCTATCAGCCTCAGATCTCCCCCAGGCCTGTACACACCTGGACAGAGGTTCCAGGCTCATAAAATTTTGGAGCCCCCATTGCCCTGGCTCTTCCACCCATTCCCTTCTAAAAATGCCCTTCAGGTGGCCCCTGGGAAGTACCCACCTGGGAGGGTGAGGGTGCTTGTCCCATCATCCTTTCAGAGCCTGCACTGATCAGAGAGAGCCAGGAAGGGAAAGTGAGCTTCCCCCCAACCCCCTACCCCATGGTACAGAGCTGGCCCTAGAGTCAGGAAGACCCGAGTTTAAGTCCAGCCTCAGATACTTCCTAGCTGTGTGACCCTGGGCAAGTCACTTGACCTCTGTTTGCCTCAGTTTCCTTGATTATAAAATGGGGATAATATCACCCAGAGTTGTTGTAAATGAGCTATCTGTAAAAAGCACTTAGCATAGCACCTGGCACAAAGTAGGCACACCACCATTCTTCTTCCAGTGACATATCAATCCCTCCAAAATCTCTAGACCATTCCATCAGAAAGAACCATAGAGATTCCTAGAATTTCAGAGTGAGAAACCCCAGAGCTCATAGACTCTACCCTTCTTTTTGAGAATGGAATGGTTTGCCATATTCTTTCAAATCATTCTTTTACCCTACTACTCATTCTATCACCATTCTATCCTATTCACCATTTTTCACTTATTGTATAATCCATTCAACAAACATTTACTGTGCACCTACTATGTGCAAGGCAGTGGTAGCTATATGGTGGCACCCTAGCAGGGCAGTCTTTTTTTTTTTTGGAAAGCAGAAGTATGATTTCATCAGTATGATAAATAGGGAGTTCTTGGTGAGAAGCTTCCTCTACAAATGCAGGTCGGTATAGTCTGTACAACTGAGAGGTGAGGTTATGTGCCCAGGGTCACACAGACTATATATATCAGAGGAATGACTTAAGCCTAAAGTCTTCTGACTCTAATAGGGTTAGCTCTCTACTCAACCTATTTATTATCCTATTGCTCCTGGGTCTGCCTCAGTTTCCTAGTTTTTAAAATCAGAGAATTGATGTTCTGTCTCGAGTCAAGGACCCAGAGTATTCTGAGCTGGGAGTGAGAGGAGCATTTTCTTCCTGTCTCTCTTGCACTGTTCCATCTCTGCCTCCCTTCCCTCCCCCCCAAGAAAGAAAAAAGTTTGATCCCATCCCTAGGATTGAGACCACGGAGGGAGGTGTTGCCAGACCTCAGGTCCTGTCACCGTTCTTACTATGACTCCTTTCTCACCTCCCTCTAGTCCCAAGTACTTCAAGAAGGTGCCTGGTGAGGGGATGCCATTGGCCTCGGACCCCACCAAGAAGGGGGATCTCTTCATCCTCTTTGACATCCAGTTCCCCACTCATCTCACACCAACCAAGAAGCAGCTGTTGAAGCAGGCACTGCTGACATGATATGCATGCCCTACCCCCTTCCCTGAAGGCCGGACTGACTATATACAGGGAGAAAAGGGGCCTGGGGATCTCCATGTTAGAATATGGGGGATGGACTGACACCTTTACATTGAGGTAGAAATGGGAGTGTGGGCCCTGAGCAGTCACCTCTGCAGGGTTATGAAGAATGGTGGTGGGGGGTCTTGGGTAGGAGGGAGGTGTGTTTTCAGGTAATAGATTTCTACTTGGAAATGAAGCATTCTTCTTTGTTACAGAACCATTTGTATCCAGGCGTGGCCACAAGACCACAGGGCCCACAGATCCAGTAAGATCTAGGATATCAGCATAAGAGCCTTTTCGATAACTACTATTTGAGTAAGAGAAGGGCAATTAATTACATGGTAACAATGATGCCGACTATCTATACAGCATTTTCTACTCTTTAAAGCTCTTTTCCATCCACTTTTTAAATTGACTGTCACAACAGCCCTGGGAGGGATTGTTTTTGTTGTTCAGTCATGCCTGACTGTTCCTCCATTTGAGGTTTTCTTGGCACTGGAGTGGTCTACCATTCCAGTTCATTTTAGAGACGAAGAAACTGAGGCAAACAGGATTAAGTGACCTGCCCAGGGTTCATGCAGCTACTAAGTGTCTTACGGCTGGATTTGAACCTGGTCTTCCTGACTCCAGGCCCAGTGCCACCAAGCTGCTTTAAAGTTTACAAAGCCCTTTCCTCACAAGGGCCTGTGCATAATAGCGGCCTTCTCTAGGGTGGGGTGGGAGAAGACAGTTGGGAACTTTAAAATGTAACAAAGGCACAGGTTCTACTTCAGTTCTGCCACAACTCTTGGCAATCATCTGAGCCCTCCGAGTCTGTTCTCTCCTCTGTTAAATAGGGATACTTGCACTACCTTCACAGGGATATTGTAAGGAAATCCATTTAAGTTTCACTTAGAGCTGACTTCCTCATTTTCTGGTGGGGCATTTAACAATGCCTTGGTGTTCATCAGGCAAGGGTGTGGGAATATGCTAGAGGTTCAGAATGTCAGTGTGAAGGAAGACAATGCCCTGTGTGGGGAGGGATTAAAGGCTTTGACCCAGGAGAGGATAGGATAGAACCAGGGCCATCAGTTCCGCATGCAGATTCATCTTTCATGGTCAAGGATAGGGCAAGGACACTATCTTCAAATGGCTGTCCTCTTTCAGGTCAATTTGGGCTTCTGAAGGTGCTCTTGCTAATCTTTATGGCACTGGCCATTTTTTCCTCCTGGAAGCCAAGCCCTCTTCACAGCACAGCACATGCTCCACCAGAATGCGGCTGAACCTGAGCCTCCTGGGCTATTCTTTGAGCCTGCTTAGTCTGCCAAGAGCACTAGCCCTGGACCAAGTCCCAACACTGGTTAGCTGTTACCCTGGGAAGGTCCCTTCACCCCTGATCTACAGAATTTAGTGCCTTGGTGGTCATCTACTTCTATGCCTTCAATTCTTCAAGAAAATTAAGGCCCAGAGATTAAGGTGACCCTGTAAGCACCCCACAAACATTAAGTAGCCGAACCATGATTTGAACCCACCTCCTTTCCTTCAAAGTCCAGTCTTTTTCCCACCATATTTATCCATCTATTTATAAAACGGGGATAAATGCCCAAGTCTTAAAGCACCACAGAAAGGTCAGCCATTCAAACGTTCACTAAGCACCTAGTGCCAGGCTATGTTAACTGCCATGAGAATCAAAACCATTATGTGAAGGTGCTTGAGAAGCTGAGATGGCTGTACAAACACGAGGGGACGTGAAGGGGGCCTGGCCATGGCTAAGACTCCAAAAAGGAAGCAGGGGCGACAGCTCAGTTGTTGGGTAAGCCCTCAATCTCCAGGTGGCTAGCCTATAACCCAAGTAGGCTTGAGATCTAACCCAAGACAGCCTGCTTCCTCAGAGCAGAGGGAGGGTGGGGCAGACACCCAAAGGAGCTGCCCTGGCATGAAGCAGAAAAGGGCAAGTCTCATTCACGGTGGCCCAGTCTAGTCCAAGCCTTGCAGCAGTCAATTCTCCCCCAGTAAAAAAAATTTCTACCCTTAATGATTTGTGTGCTTCTCCCTGAGGACAAGGTTTAATTTTATCTTTAGAGCCCAGCACTTAAGTTAGCACATAGTAGGTGCTTAATGAATGCTTGTTAATCCCAAATGAGTATATACCAACCTCTTTTTAGACCATATACAGCATGGTTAGCTAAACCTGCCCTTTTTTTTGGTGAGGCATCAGGATTAAGTGACATGCCCAGGGTCACACAGCTAGTGTCAAATGTCTGAGGCTGGATTTGACCTCAGGTCCTCGTGACTCCCCAAGGCCAGAGCTCCATGCACTGCACCACTTAACTGCCTCTAGACACCTGCCTTTTTTGAAGTTAAGACAGCTTGCACAGTCTGGGTTCTGGTTTGGCTTTATTAGAAGTGAGGAGCTTAAGAACGAAGTGAGGATGCAATGGCAGGAGAAGCAGGCTGGAGAAGGTTTAAATGGGGCTAACTCTAAGCAGGAGTGTAGGGGAATCCTTCAATGCTAAGGCAGGGGAGGAGAGGCAGGATAGGGTCAGACTCAAAGCGGACAGGCATCAGGCAGAAAGTGAGCAGGAGAGGGCTCAGAAAGGAGCTTCCCGGGAACTGCGAGCGGCCATCAGAGCCCGTTTCAGTTGCTCGTAGGTGACAAACATCACTACATTCCAGGAGCCCAAGCGGAGGAAGGAAGGCATGAACCTGAAGAGAAAACACACACAACAGCCCACTGAGATTGAGCCCAGGACCTGGGGACTAAAGGGGAAATGAGGAAGAGTCCAAGTGACCTGTTCCCATTCCCTCAAGACAGTTCTCCCGGCCCAGAGTGAGCTAAGATTCTAGAAGCCCCTAAAAGCTTTGGAAGATTTAGGATTAGTCAGTCTGAAGAGCTGAGAGAATTCTCTTCCCCTCCATCCAAATCCCACAGTGATCAGAGGAATGGTCCTGGGTTATGAAGGCTATCGAGGTCTAGGTCAAGAGCCATTGAGGCTGGAGAAGTTACTAACCCTTTGTAGAAGGCTTGGGGTCCCTCCTTCCGAAGCATAGTGAGGGCGCAGTGGCCAGCACTAGCATACTGGCCTGCGGCAGAGTTCATGTATCTCGTCTTGACCACGTCCACAGGGGAAGCAATGATGGTGGTGCAGAAGCCAGCCCCAAAGGCTGACGTGAAGTGGCATGGAAGGTCATCTTGGGGAGGAGAAAGGAGGAAACTGCTGTTAAGAGCAGCTCCATTCCAATACCACTTCCTCAAGATCATTCAACAAGCTCCAAAGACATCTGGGGACAAAGTCACTTACCTGCCTCACAGTTTAATGGATGGACAGCAGCCTGGGAGACAAGAACCTGACAGCTTAGTTCAGACTATGCTACATGACCTTGGGGAGGTATTTTCTTCCCCATTTGGGGGTCTCAATTTACACCTGTCAGGTGGGGCCATTTCTTGCCGGACCTCCACAGGTCTAACAACAGATGGGAACTTACTCTGAAGATAAGTGTCTGGTCTTAGCTGGGAGTTATTCCTAAATTTCATCATCTATAAAATGAGATTAACACACCTGTACTGCCTATGCCACAAGGTCTGTCACTATTCAAGGTGCTTCTGTCCAAAGTGCCATATAATGTTTAAAAAGATAAAAACATTTACCAATATTTCCCAACTTCATGGAGCTGTGAAGGCAGAAGTTATTTAAACCTGGTATCCCTCCCCCCCAAGGCCCTGAACACATTGGGCACTTACAGCCATCTGTATCCAGGTGTATCTAAAATGCATAGGTAGATATCCAGGTATTCACACCTGCAAGGCCACATTATCTCCCTTTTACTAGGAGATTCAGAAGGGAGGTGCCTCATAAGGTTAGTTAGCTCCAGAACCAAGGCTAGAGCTCCAATCTCCTTAAAAGCCCAGAAAGATGATGCTATGAAATCAGGCACCCATTTTAGAGCTGCAAAGAGGATATTCCTCTCCCCCCTACTCCCAATATTGTCACCTACCAGTCATGAGGTGGGCCTTCAGGAGGGCATCTTTGATGAGATCATAGGTCACCAGCTCAGCACAGTTGACAATAGCATTGCGGGCAACATTGGGTGAAGTTCCTGGACAAGAGGAGGAATTGCATTGACGGGGGGGAGAGGAGGGGGGGCGGGGGGGGGGGGCGGGGCGGGGAAGGAAGTGGGAGGGTAGGTAGGAAGGGGAAGAGTAGGACTGCTATGCTTACCTTTCCATAGGCCCCGAAGCCCCTCCTCTCGGGCAATAGTCTTATAGGCATCCACTGTACCCTGGTATCTCCGGCTGCCACCTGCACGAGCCTGGGCCTGGAAACGTACCTTCACCACATCTGTGGGTTGGGCTATGCCCACTGCCAGGGCCCCTGTAGTGCAGCCTGCCAGGAGGCGGCTCCCAATGCCTGCATCTATTGGGAAAACCAGGTAAAAGTTGAGATTGCCCGAGGTCATTTAGATTCAGAGATGACAGCCCCTTCTCCCTTCCCTGCACTATGGACCTGAAACACTAGACTCCTAAATATCCTGGCTAGGACATCTACTGGATAACTACAGGGAACTCATTTAACCTTTCCTACTCAAGGATGCCTCACAGGTGTACTCAAACAGCTTAGAAGGCTTAAAGTGCTTTAGAAATAGAATTGTTACTTAGGCTAAAAACAAAACCCAAAACAAAAAAAAGTAGGATTATTCTGAGACAAGGATTGAAGTGAGAATAATGGTTCCTTCTGGTCTTTGCATACCTAACTCAGCCTTCAAAGTTTACCTCAACCATCCTCTAACCCAGGCTTCGGCTCCTGCCCACTCAGTACCATGATTTAGGGATACTCACGCTCTGATCCCTTGGTGTAGAATTGCTTGACAGAGTCATAGAGGCCAATTCGGACAGAGGCAAAACTCATCTGGCGCTGCAGCCCAGCCACCAGCCCATTGTAGAGGCTGCCAGGGCCCTCAGTCTTCACCATGGTCAGAATGGTGCCCATGACACCCCGATACTGGGCAGTGGCAGAGGAAGCCCTGATGGCTCCCTGGCTCTCTCCCTGAATCTGGGTGAGAGGGAAGAAGAGAGTTGTAGGAAGCTGGAGGTCAAATGGCAACGGAAAGGACCTAATGGGCTTAGTTCAAAAGCATCAACTTACAGATAGGGTAGCTAGAAAGCCTATGGGGGAAGTAGCCTGCCAAGTGCTATGAGATCTATTATTATGCCACATACCTTCTGCCACTAACCTTTTTTGGTAATAGAGCAGGGTAAGACTAATCAGACATCTAGTCTCAAAGCACTAATACTCCCAATGCCCAATTCTCTTCCATTCTCCCACCAAAACCAGGCTGGAAGGCAGGACCAAAAACTACTGCCCCTATTTTATACATGGGCACA